TTTTTTTTACACCAAATTTTGATCTTTGCTAATTTGAGAGATTGATTTTACACACCAAAAAATGCATTTCCCTGTCAAATAAGTACTAAACAATGAAGCATGGAACATCAAAGCTGAAATAAAACAAAAACACACACACACACACATACATATATATACAATGCAATAAATATAACAAAATTACTTACTAGAAATATAACTTACTATTCATTATATAAATAAATATATGTAAAAGAATGAATATTAACAAAAAAACAAACAAACAACAACAACATATCACCGTACAGGAGCAAAGGAAAATAACTCACCTTGAAGGTGTCTTCTTCATATGCTGATGGACTCATGGTTGCTTTCTTATGATTTGAACATTCCATCTATAAAACAAAACATAATAAAACAAACAATAAAAAAATATTAAGTTAGTTTGGTTCTATCTACAATGTGTCTTAAAACATCCTCCCTTATTCAAATGTGTTTCTATTGCTAAGAATTAAGGTCTTATAAAAGCAGAAGAAAAAAACATGAGTATGTATGTACATATACATAAAAACACACACATACATATAGATACACATATATATATTTGTTATATACACATATATTATACACGACATATTAAGGTAATACTGCACAACGATTTATTGCAACTTCAGGATTAATAAAAGGAAAAAAATGACTCAATCTAAAATTAGTCAAGTGATATTTGTCATATATCACTAGTACTTGACATTTACTTACGCTCTCATATCCTCTCCCATAATTCAACCTCTGTGCTCTTATCATGAAGTATTTAAGAAGTATCTAATTCCCAGATGACAAATAAATCACCAACCTCGTTCGAGTTATATCCTTCAGTCTCGTTACATTCTTTCTCGACCATCGACGCCTCTCGCACGAGTATGTCATACTGAACAGGAATCTGATGCCGCTGATACAACAGATACTTCAACATATCTTCTACGACTCGGCAGCATGTTGAAGAGGTCAAAGTTCTATCGAGATGGACGCCAATTTTGACATTTTCTTGGTCCCGACGTCCGTGTCTGGGTTTGAAAGCTCCCTCCATCTTGTTTACCAAAATCAGCTGATGGGAGCGTATCCGAACATGTGTAATCTTTGATGTGTTTGGTTGGGGGTTTTAGATTAAAGGTGTGAGAATAATTAATGTGATGGTTATTTTGTTTTTACTATGGTGTCTTTGTTAATGATAGGATTGATTTATGTAATGTGCCAATTTATGATTCTCATTTCTGGAATCATCATGACTTTCAGGAATTATATGTTTATATAGTTTCAGGTTAAACTTCTGTCTCAATGTATATACTGAAAATAATATAACATTACATAATCAAATACTGCGACAATCATTACACACCATAAAGCAAATGTATGCATTAATCAACGAATTGTGTTAATACATCGAATTCTCATGAAAAAAAACATTAACCTACTAAAAAATGACCTACACAAAAATATAAAAACCAAAAATCCAGAAAAAAAATAAAATACAAACTCACACTCCTACTACACACAGAAAATACCCCCCCGACCTTACTTATTCCTGAAATATATCATGGTCCCTAAGACTCCGACGGCGTTCGAATCCTCGTACGACGGCTTCAGCTCCGACCATATCCGAGCATTAGCGAGTCCCCAGCGTTACACAAAACCCGCACCCATGGCTCTCCTTCGCAGTATCTCTCGTTCCCTTCCTCTCCTGGCCGGGAGGGCTGTCAGCGTCACGTCATCGGCCAAATATCACGAGAAGGTAAAGGCTTTTTATATTATTTTTAAAATTAGAGTTTAATTTTCTGGGGGAGAAAATATAACTGGGGATGAATTTATTGAGAGGGATTCGAGGGTTCTTGTAGGTTGGGGGTTTCTGTGACGTAATTAGGAGAAAATGTTGTGTTGTTTGCTTGTGTTATAAATGAAAGGGTTTAGGATTTGGGGTTTAAATGCGTTAATGAAAGAGCCTCCTGAATTATAGTGATGACTATGAGGAATTTCAAGAGTGTCGGTATTTTCGTGGCTTTTTTGATTTCACACTTCGGATATTTTTTTCTTTTATTTTTTTTTCTTTATTTGTATACTTGTTTGTCGTTGTTGTTTGATGAATGCAGTTGTTTTTTTTTGTTACCAGTGCGACAAATACTTAATGGCTGGTATTTGTAGAAAAACGTATTAGCTGCTTTAAAGAAATTATTCCTATAGGTTGCTGTAATTTGTGAGTTTGAGGAACCACAAAGAAACAGAGAAATGGGCAGAGGACAGAAAAGGAAAGGAAAGATATGTAGAAATAGGAGAATACTTTGAAATAGGTGCCGTGCTCTGTTTCACCAAAGATTAAATGAGAGATGAAGATTTCACCTTTGCTACTTTCATTGCAAGATGGCCTTCAAGTATTAAACCTTCAAGCAAAGGGACCAAAAACACTCTACGGGAAAGGAACTGGTAACAAGATTGCACAACATTGTAAAGCAAGATTAAATGCAGGGTTGAATGCAAACTGAAATAGGCTGTATTACAAGATCATTGGTTGCTTGAAAAAGTTGTGTGAATGTTTCTTGTGGTCCTTGAATGAAATTCCATGTGCCATTTTCAATAGAAAGTGGGGAAAAGAAATGCTTTTTCTATATTGCAAACTTAGATATAGTTTATAGGAAGGACTCTGTTTCAAGAAAATGAGTCTTTACTGAATGATGAAAAGAGGCAGAGATGGAGATGGAGAGTGAGTCTGTCTGTCTGTCTGTGTGTCTGTTTATACATGTATCTGTCTCATTTTAATTGTAACATGATTCATTCAACATCCTTTTAAGTGCATTTAATGATTTCTTATTATTGTCTTGTTAATTGTTATGAAAGTTGATCTCAAGGATACTCTCAGTTAGTTACCCTGGTTATTCTCAAACTTATTGTGATATAAGCATTTTTCTGCCTGTCTGTTATTGTAGCACTCCTGAATTTATTACATTGTCTCAAGGCATCCCAAAATGAAAATCACTATACATCCTTTTTAAATCATATTCTTTCTCTTTCATAAACTTATGAATAAATAATAGTCAGTTTAGTAAATTTGAAAAAAAAAAATTATGCTCTATAGTATTTATTCATAATTTTGTAAAAAATGACTTCAAGAAATGAGATAAATTACAGAAAAAAGATTAAAAGTCTTAGAATGTATATCAAAAATTTTGTGCAATAGACTATATGAATAGTCAGACTTTATATGACATTGTTATGAGAGAAGGGCAGGGTCCAGCACAACACAGATAAAATTCTTGTGTTTGTCATGAATTTTATTATTGCATTAATTATTTTTACTATCATAAATATAGTTTTTCAAGAGGGGGCAACAGGAAATGAAAAAGATCATCATTAAATTAAGGGCATTTAGAAAATAACTTTTATAGACACATAATTGGAAAATATATGATATTAAACACACAAATATACTCTATGGATTTGATATTAACATGCATTTGTGCCCCTAGGTCATTGACCACTACGAAAATCCACGCAATGTTGGATCCCTTGATAAGAATGACTCCACCGTCGGCACTGGTCTCGTAGGAGCACCTGCCTGTGGGGACGTGATGAAGCTGCAGGTGAAAGTGGATGAAAATGGGAAGATCATTGACGCCAAATTCAAGACATTCGGGTGCGGTTCTGCCATCGCATCGTCCTCGCTGGCAACAGAATGGGTAAAGGGAAAAACTGTAAGTGAACAAGAGGTTATTTATGTTTTAAATTTTTTTGGGGGGAAATTTAGAATTGTGAGATTTTTTATTCTTAACAAAATTGTATAGATAGATAGATAGATAGATAGATAAATATAGATATACAGTAAGTCCCCAACTTAAGAGCATAATGGGGACTGAGAGGCTGTTTGTAAGTTGATTTGTTCGTATGTCGAAAGTTGGGTCTCCATTACCTTTTTTTCCTATTGTTTTAAAGTTTTGTTTACATTAAGAATACCTGTAAATAAATCCCAATAAGTATGACATACCTTATACAGACTCTTGAACTATATTCGTGCCTGGGAAATTTAAAGTTTGCTAGCATCTATCAAACAATATTTTGGACTTTAGTACTTAAAAAAAATTGTTTGTATGTAGTTGTTCATAAGTAGAATGTTCTTAAGTAGGGGACTATCTATGTTTTTTTTTTTTTTTACTTTTTACTTTTTATGAATCCCTAAAATGTTTGTGTTTCAAGAATTCAAGGCCTTAGGAAGGATTTTAATAATTTGATGATATGTAATGCTTTGATTGATAACAGTTCTTGGCTAGGAATAGGAAGCATGGTGGTTTTGGGATTCCTGGAATTGTTGGTAAGGAAATAGATTGTGAAAATACATAATAGATTACATAATATTAAATAATTTGCACTTTAGCTTTGTAATCTCTTTTTCTGGTAAATGTTTTTAAAACTATTTTTGTTCTACTTTTTCCCTTCCTCATATAATATATCCTCGCATTGATCAGTATTTTGTAATAGTAAAAGAGACAGAAATATTATCTACTCCAATAAATATGGTTTAGACCATTCACTAGTTAATAACTCTTGGTACCCAGTAATGATGCATATATATTATTTTCTCTCTTTTCAGATGGATGAAGCTCTTAAGATAAAAAACGTTGACATTGCAAAGGAACTGAAACTCCCTCCTGTCAAGCTACATTGTTCTAGTAAGTAATTCTGTTATATTTGTTATATTATATATATATATGTATATGTATATATATATATATACATATATACACATACATATGCATATGTATGTATATATACACATATATACACATATGTATTAAATACATATGTATTTCCATACATATGTATATATATATTGGTAATATAATTTCATTTACTATTGGAGTGCATTGCTAATTAGTTTCTCCCTTTTTCCTGTTCCCACCACCAAAATGGTTATCTTTTAAATGTTTATGTGCAGGAAAAGTCATGATATATATGAATATGACGTCATGTATTACGAGTGTTATCAGATCTATCTTATTCCCTTATCTGGAAACATTCATTTTTGATAGGTCAAGAAAAGATAAGGTATTTAGGCCATGTGCCATATGAATGAATGATAAGAACGTGCTTATTTCTCAATTTCAGTGCTTGCTGAAGATGCCATAAAAGCTGCTCTGAGTGACTACAAGATTAAGCAGTCAACTAAAGAGAAGGTTGCTAAGAAAAATGTGCAATAGAACCATATTGAAAAATGTTAGGCATTGAACAAAGTCATTGATGAAGTGTTAGGCATGACCTTGCATTTTCATGAACTTCGTTCCACTGATAAATAATTTTCCGAATATTTTTCCTACCAATGTCGTTTCGTGCTTTGATCTTAAGTTCGTGAAAAATGGTCTGACTCACTAAATAATGCTCTCTCTTTTTCTTTTCTGTGTACTCTTCACAAGATACACTTTTCACACGTGCCTCATTAAATAGTTGTTTACTTTCGTTTTGTCCTTTGAATATAAAGCTGGAAATTTGATTCTGAAAGGTTTAGAAGAGGGAGAACACCGATTCTCTTAACTGTTATAATTCTTGCTATGTGTATTGGTAATGAAATTCAATTCTTAGCAAGAAATTAGTTGATTCCTCATTGATAATAAAGCATGAATATTTTCTTTTTATTTATCTCTGAGGATATGGAAATAAGGTGATACTCAGAAGCATTATAGAAACCGACTTTTCAGGGACACTCGTGTTATTTCTCTCGAACTTGTTGATAAGTTGCTCCACTACTGGTATTTGTATTAGCCTACTTTCACGATGGTTCTGGTAACCCATCTACCCTTCTTAAAGGGAAAAAAATAAAATGTATATGGAAATTGTCACATGTTTTGTATATTGAAACATGGCCTCATAACCTACCTAATTATACAGTAAGCTAAAAGATGCTTTTATCTGATATTTTTTATTGATGAAATCTGAAAGGTTCATGCTATGAACATTATGGTGTATATAATGTAGCAAAAATAAAATGTATAAAAGGAGCGGATTGGATATCATTTTCATGACTAGTGACACAGGAATTCTGAACACAATTTGGCAGGGATGGAAAGAAACCACAAATAAAAGAAATCAACATAGTTATGTTTTGTATTTTGTATTTGCAAGAAAGTATAGAAAGATATATATGACTCTTTTGGTATGACTACCTTATGTAAGGTAAATATATTTTCAAGATATAACCAAATTATCACCAATATGCGATGGTGATAACTGGACATAAGATAACATGGTGTCGGGTCTTGCTGTCATGACAGTAGTAAGGTAGTGCCTCTTCTCTTCTCCTCCAAGGATGCCAAACTCTGCCACAAATTCCTCCATGCCAACATTATGCCAACCCTCTTCATCCATCTCACTGTTGTATTCCATCTGCATGTTCTCTAAAACCTGTAGGAAGTCACCCAAATACATGAAGATTAAAAAAGAAGAGAGGGAATCACATATCTAATTTTTATTACATTTCTCTAACATGTTCTGTGCAATTTTTTTTGTATGAATTATTATCTCAAACATTTTCCAGAAATACCATTTCATTCTCATGCATTAGTGCTATATTGTGCAAAATGCAAGTAGCCTTCAATAATTTCATATTGGTTGCAACGTGTCTGTCCATTTGCTGCATCCTCTTGAATCTGGATTTGAAGACGGTCATGGCATTTGTCGTCAATTTGCTGGCTTCATGATGATTCTCATTAAATAGGGCTTCCTATATTAGGGAGGGAAATGTTCAAGAATGAGTGAAATTTACTAAAAAACAAAACAAAAAAACAGTAATAAGATTTCCATACTATATGCAATGGAAATGATAAAAACTTGCATGCTTTTCAAATTGTGAAGTGATTCTTAGAAACAAAAATGAAATTTCTCTTTTGATGGAACAGTTGCTGAAAATAAGAAGAGCAAGTACAATCTACCTGGTAAGAGAGGACATCTTTCACATGTGGCGTCATGATAGCAGGAGCCAAAGGGTATGTGGCTGGGGCAACTAAGTGGGTCTCTGCACTTGAAAGACTTTGGAGGTGCGCCCAGGCTTGTGATTCCTAATAGAAAGAAACAAATAAAAGGAAGTAAAAGAAAGAAGAAAATGATACATATATATATATATATTTAATATTTGTATGGGCTTTGAAAGATCATGTAAATACTTAATAAAAGATCAGATAAAAAGAACTAAGATCTAGCCTACCTGAAAGACTTGAACTCTGGTTCCTGTGGCTGGTGAATCCACGTGGATATCTCGGAAGAGGAGTCTATGATCTACAATAAACTGTAAGACGAAGGCACATTTACAGCTTATTCCCTCTTTCACATAGGTATACTCCTGTTTGTCTGCTCCCGCTGGTGTTTTCATGTGAATCAGTGCAGCATCCATAGCTCCAAATGCACCAGGAAACCCACAGTTGTGCTTGATCACTTCTGCTATTCTGATTCTGTTAAAAGGTGTTTTAGTTACTGATCAATAAAATATGATGTTATTTTGAAAGACCAAAGCCTTTGAAATATTGTCAAAATAGAGGGAATTGTATGGCACAGGAAAACTAACAAAATGAATGCTGAAAAATTGCCTACCTTTCTTCTAAGCTCGGTAAGCTCAAGTATTTCTCTGACTCCTTTAACAAGAAGTCGGCAAACTTGACAGTGATGTCTATAAAGGCTGCAGACTTTATTCTGAACCTAGAAAATCAATAAAACTATTACTATTATCTGCAAAATATGGTAATATGTGTACCCTTTTCCCTTTTATATTTGATAACTCTAAATCAGATACAAATTTCAAAACCAATATATTTTCCAGACTTGTTTAAAACAGCCTGTAGTACCTTGAACATACTGAAGCTAGGCTCTCAGTAGATCCTAAATAATACAATACTGCTAATACATGCTGGCTGTAAAGCTCTAAATTTTCAACTGGCAGTTCATCCTCCATCAAATTTTGTTTGGTTTCTTTCTGCCACTCATCAACTAAAAACTGAAAAGAAAGTCCAACACCAAAAATTAATATGAAAATATTTAAAATCACTTTAATAAAAACAGTTTTGCTCTCCTACTCCTCTTCTGAAACAATTGAATAAATCACAACAAATTAAATAGTATACATCACATACTAAAAAGACAAAGAAAAAAAAGAAGAAAAAAACAAACCTGATACACAGGTCTTGTAACTCTAAATGTGTGGAGAAAGTCGGTCTCATTCAGCTCCGCGTCTAAGGTGGGCAGAATTTCAACTTTGGTATTTTGTAAGTCCCGAGGTTTCCTTGGCCTTTTATTAACCTGCAGAAAATTGTTTGTTACAAGTGTATTTCACTACAGTCAACCAAGGTCTATCACTCATGTAACATACTGTATTCAGAGGTAGGAAATCTGTTTGTTGATTTATATGAGGCATATGCTTTGTAAAATTAGTTTTTGAAACTTTGCTAAACATACCTTCAAGTATAGACTCATTATTCATACAACACCAGAATTTTGTCAGATAATTCTCTTGACATATTTACATCTGACTAATGTTTATCTTTAACATCATTATATATGTGAAAGAAACTTGTTTTTGAAGTATTTTGCTGAACAAAATAATTAATGACCAATCTTAAACTTCACTTTGTAAATGAGTAGTGTTTTTCTGTGTAGCTGTAAAGTCAGTGAATACCAGGAACTACATATCTACACAACTACATATCTGAAGTAGTTATGATTTCTTATACATATCAACAGAAAATACCTGCTTTCAAAGAGGGCTGGAATGAGTGAGTGACTGACAGAATGAGGGAATGAAGGAATGGGAGATGAGTACAGGAATGAGGGATTGAAAAAATGAAGGAATGAGAGAGGGAGTGATAGAGAGTGAGAGAGCTACACACAATTCCTCTTTCATGGTTGCAGTGATCTGTCTCTTCAGGAAGTTGTATGTATATTCTGCGTTCTCCCTCTGCACGACTCTCTTTGAGTGCAAGGCGAAGAAGAAGAGCCTTCAGTTTCTTTGCATGAGCTGTATTTTTCTCAGCCTGTAAATGAAGTACCTTATTTATGTAGAAGTACATGCATTTGGGATGTAATATCCAACATATGTATGAACAAGTCCCATTAAAAGTAAAAATGTAAAAAGTAGTTTCTGAATAAGGATTTATATACAGTATAGTATTGTGAAATGAGGTGATATAGAAATAATTTTCATCCAAATAACAAAGAGGCCCTATATATCCATTATGGTCCTATTTCTATACAACAAAGGTTATACTGCATTACCTTAAAAGATGGGAATTTTACAACATCTTTCAATATGATTTTGGCAGGGCAATTGACCTTTTTAGAGATTGGGTGACGGCGGTCTTTTATTTTCAATAATTCAACCTGTAAAAGAAGTAATTAGCAGTGGTAAGTGATGTCAATATTACAACTTGTCTATCAGTTTGTAACATCTGCCAACAACACTGCATCTATCAGTAACTTCATACCAATGGGATAAAAATTCATATTAATGACTGCATCATCATCCTGCCAAACCCCAGTAGCATATGATATCTACTGATAGCATGTGTAATGAGAAAATAAACACATATGGAGTGAAACTGTAAAGGTGAGTTGGAAATCAAACCTGAATTCTATCACATCCTAAAAGTCAAAAACTCTAGATTCATAAAAATAACAATTTCATACCTTTCTTCTTTCTTGATGTCTCTTCTTTTGGTACAAATTTCTATCAATGCCAAACTGACATTCTAGTATTTTGCTTCCAATAAGAACATATGGAATGCCATCACTGCCAAGAAAGTTATTTTCCAATTTAACTTTTTGTTCTTCTTGATGCCACAAGATCTTATGGTTGTCTAAACACCACTCTGAAATAAGATCAGAAATTAAATATATTTCAATCATATTACATTCTAAATACACTATACTTCATTTTAACTTTTTGTTCTTCTTGATGCCACAAGATCTCATGGTTGTCTAAACACCACTCTGAAATAAGATCAGAAATTAAATATATTTCAATCACATTACATTCTAAATACACTATACTTCATTTACATTCTTGTGGTATAAAATGCAGAATAAAAGAACAGCTTCAGTCCAGCACAAAACTTTTGATAAAATAGGCACAATTATTATAAAATCTGATAAAAAAGTATCACCTGCTTGCTTGTATTATATTGCACTTTTAATCTATGCAAGCCATCTATAGCAATGCTACAGATTCAATTGTGCAATGGCATGGGATCAATAATGCCTGTGAATGACTGGCATCAAATCTGTAGTTTACATGACCTGCAGGTAAGATGTGCTACTACCTTTGCACCACTATTTTTGCATACCACAGCTGATTTACAGTGGCTGGTACTGCTAGATTACTTTGCATTACTGATATTTAACCCTTAATTTGCTTCTTATGTGGCCAACAGATACCTTATACTGATTTTAATAGTTCATTTTTTTTTTCAGCACCTGTATCCCCTTGCCGCCGGGTGACGGCGATACGCGTGTAAACAAATCGCTCGAAAGGTGGCGTGCGGCCAAACCAGCCGGCGGCGCGCCAAAGCGCGGCGAGCCAGTGATTCGGGCTGACGCCCCGTACTCCGGCGCTCAAAGTCGGCGCGCCGCCTTTGTTTGCCAGAGCGTAGAGTTTTATTTTCCTTTTGTACACCCGGCGTCATTGGGGTATGGTTCTAAGCTTGCTTGCCTATATTATTTGCTTTTATCTACTATAGCATGTATACTTGTTCTGTACTATGGACTGTCTACGAAAATAGGGTAAACAAAAGAAATAACTGCTTTCTAGCCTTTAGAAATAATATACACTTTGGGTAATGTTTTTACAAGCATAAGAAGGCATGTGAACAATAAAAGAGGGATGCAATGCCCATGAATACAGAAGTAAGTATTTGCAATCCCCTTCAATATTGGTCATACCATGCCTAATATGAATTAGTTAGGTGTATATATTTTCCCTATTGATAAGTTAAAAGTTTGAAAATGAATTAACTTAATAT